TTGTGTATCATGACATTTTCACGTCAGGAAGATTATCTACTGACTGTACGCCAATTTTACAGTCCGACTAGTCGTAAAGCTGTTTACGTGTTGCTGCAATTGACTGATGAGCGAGGATTTCCTTCTACCTCAACAAATTCTTTTTAAAACAAGCGGGTGTATCTTAAGTAAAGCATTTTTATGTTAACGGCTTGCTCCAAGGCCACAGAATTGACTGCTGTATGGCAAATTGCCATAATACCGTATATGGTAGTATCTGAATATGGTATATATGTAGCTACCACGTGGCATGAAAGTTGCAATAAACGACAACGATGCGACCACAAGTGCTTTGTCTACGATCTGTGCATGAGTGAAGCAAAATCCAAGTCTGTACTCGTTAAACGATCAATCCATTCTCTTAGCGTTAAAGAGCTCATCATTAACGCATTTACTGTAAATTTCACAACGGCAAAGACAACATTGAAGCACCCCACCCCCAGTAAAGGGTTATAAGTTAATAAAAGATTAGCTTGTTCAGAAAATACGTTTTCAGCGTTTCTTTAGTCTGCTGCTTTCATAGTTTTCATATGCGACGCAATTAGATTCGTTCCACTCCTGAATTAACAACATTTTAACGTTTTATGTTTAGATATCTTCTGTGAAAGCGAGTCTAATTCCTTGAGGCAATGTCTCATGTGAACGGCCATAGAAAAGAAATGGAAGCTGAAGCTGACATTTTGGTCATAGAAAAGACGATCACAAAACTCATGAAACAAAGCAAGTCCAAAATGATCAATGAGCAGAAGTACTGGTATCCTTTAAGCACGCCAACGTATGATTATCAAGAAGTGATGGCTGTTCTCGACAGTATGATAAAGTTCCAGACAACAATGGGTTCAAAGGTAATAGCGTTTGAGCGTGAATTTGCCAAGTGGCTGAACGTAAAGCACGCCATCATGGTGAATAGTGGATCATCAGCAGATCTGCTTGCGTGCTTCGCATTGGTTACTCCAAGTTGCAGACTGCTGCATCCGGGAGATGAGGTATTAATACCCGCCTTGACATGGCCGACCCATATTTGGTCTGCTGTGATGGCAGGTCTCAAAGTAAGAACCATCGATATTGATCCTGACACTCTAAACGTGACCCCGGAAATCATAGAAGCAGAAATCACTCAAGACACGAAGGCGATCTTTATTGTACAACTTATGGGCAATCCGTGCAATAATACTGCTATAAAAGCAATATGTGAGAAGCACAATATTTTGCTG